CCCCCCCCCCCCCCCGTGTAAACTGTTCTGGACTGAGATTTTGTTAAGATCATCTGAAACAATCGAGGACTCAGCGCAATAGCTGCTCTGTTAATCAGTTGATTGGTAAAGTTTCTTCATTGGTCAATCGATCCTGATTTCAGTGGGAGAGCGAGTGTACATGACGATGCTATTTGGTTCATAAATTTGACATTTTGATGAAATGGACCGGAGAAGTATCTGTGTATGAATTCTTCTGGATCATGGTTGTAGAAATGCTGCTGCTTTTTTTTTTTTAATAAAAAAAAATGCATGTTTATGTTCCTTGTAGACGTGATTTATGCCATTCTCGACGTTTTTCCCTATGGTTTGTGTACTGATTACTTGAAGCTCGATCTAACAAGTTGGTTTCTTTCTACCCATTTCCATGCTTCCTTGAATCTATGGCACAGGTGATGAAATGACTCGTGTTATCTGGAAGTCTATCAAGGATAAGGTAATGAATGATCTGCATGCAATTAGTTCGATATTCCTTGTATATTTCCCTTTTGTTTTTTTTGTGTATCCATAACTGTGTTTGCTTAAATATTTTCAGCTTATCTTCCCCTTCGTGGAGTTGGACATTAAATACTTTGACCTGGGCCTTCCTCACCGCGATGCCACCAATGACAAGGTCACCGTTGAAAGTGCTGAAGCCACTCTGAAGTATGCGTTTCAATTCAACTTTCTGAAGTTTTCCTTCGGATATAATCATTCATGCAACTGTCTGTTTCTACTGTCTTTTTAGCGTCATCGTTCTGTCTTTCCTCTCTCTGTTACATTTTGTTCCGTGTTAACTTCTGTAATGCAAGTATCTGAGGCTTCATGCATTTGTTGTTGTGTTGATGAAATTGAATCTTATCGAGAATATTCAGCTTTCTTAGGAGGAAGAGATCAGTTTCTCTATATACTTGTGCTGAATCTGTGTTGTTTCTCTAGTCGTATTCTATTAATTCAGTTGTTGTAATTTGGTTCAGGTACAACGTGGCAATCAAGTGTGCTACTATCACTCCAGGTTTGTGCATATATATGTATATTTGCAACTGATCTTTTGGAAATTCCTTTGCAATGTCATTGTTGTGTTGATTCCATGTGTATTAAAAAACTTTCTTCTGCCAACAGACGAAGCTCGGGTGAAGGAATTTGGCCTGAAGCAGATGTGGAAAAGTCCAAACGGGACCATTAGGAACATACTTAATGGTAAGAAATCCGCACTTGTAATTTTGAGAGACAATCTGATACCCTACTCTGTCACCTTATACCGGTCTTGCCTTTGTTAACAGGAACTGTATTTAGAGAACCGATCATCTGCAAAAATGTTCCCCGGCTCGTCCCAGGTATTTAACAATGAGGCTAGTAGTGTTAAAAATTTATTACTGAAATTCTAAGTTTTCTTTTCTCTTTCCAGGATGGACGAAGCCCATTTGCATTGGAAGGCATGCTTTTGGTGATCAATATCGTGCTACTGACGCTGTGATCAAGGGACCTGGCAAACTGACTTTGGTTTTTGGTATGCTTACTATCTATGATTATTTATCTGTTTTGGGGGCTGGCATTGCTTACTTTGTAATCGTGTTCATTTCTATTCTTGAGTAATTGATGGGTCAGCAAGAAAAGTTGTAATTGATTTTCAGAGGGGAAAGATGGGAAGACAGAAATGGAGGTCTTCAATTTTACTGGTGAAGGGGGTGTTTCTTTGGCCATGTACAACACCGATGAGGTATTGTCTTTCTTATTTGGTATTCCAAATAATGTCAAATTACTTGTTATTGGCCTCCAAGTAATGTGATATTATCTTGCAAATGCAGTCCATCCGTGCTTTTGCAGAAGCATCTATGAACACTGCATATGTGAAGAAGTGGCCACTTTATCTCAGCACAAAGAACACCATTCTTAAGAAATACGATGGGAGGTATGTTCTTGATTCATCTCTATTGCACTCAGTGTCGAATAGTCTTGGTTATGGTTTATGAGTCGGTTTCCCAACTTGTTGACCTTTCATGTCTATGGCTTCTTTTCCTTCTCTACTATGAAGATTCAAGGACATCTTCCAAGAAGTCTATGAAGCCAAGTGGAGATCAAAGTTTGAGGCTGCTGGAATATGGTAGAGTTGCAGCGTTACTTTTTCAGCCTGAGTATCACCGTGCTTCATTATTAACTGATGACTCGAATGGTTAAACTCGCTAGGTATGAACACCGTCTCATTGATGACATGGTGGCTTACGCTCTTAAGAGCGAGGGAGGCTATGTATGGGCATGCAAGAACTATGATGGTGATGTCCAGAGTGATTTCTTGGCTCAAGGTTTGTATTACTTACTCTACATAGAACTTCTTTCATAAGCATTTGCCTTATGCAGGGTTGGTTGGGTTTCACATTGTTTTTTTTTTTCCGTGGATTAGCTAATTGTTTCTGCTATGTCCTGTTTGTGTAGGGTTCGGATCACTTGGACTGATGACATCTGTGCTGGTAATTCTTACATTTCCAACGTTAATGGCTATCTTATGTTTTATGTTTCCTGGAGTGTTTCTTAGTGACTCGATCATGCTTGCAGTATTATTTGACATTTTGAGACACCCCAAGTCTTATACCTTAGTGGCTCTTCTGAGAGAAGTTGGTTATGAATTTGGATTAGGTTTGTCCGGATGGAAGGACGATAGAAGCTGAAGCAGCACATGGTACAGTTACCCGTCACTACAGGGTTCACCAGAAAGGAGGCGAGACCAGCACTAACAGCATTGCTTCCATCTTTGCTTGGACCCGAGGGCTTGCACACAGGTAAAAACCCGAAAGAGGAAAGAAAGATCTCTCCTTTATCTGTTGTGTAGGAGATTGATTGATTATGAGCGAAATCGTACTATTTGTGTTGACAGGGCCAAGCTAGATGGGAACACCAGACTCTTGGATTTCACCGAGAAACTCGAGGCTGCTTGCGTTGGTGCAGTTGAATCTGGGAAGATGACCAAAGATCTCGCCCTCATCACTCACGGTTCAAAGTGAGTTCAATGACCGATCTTCTCGTGTTTTCGGATAAATTACCCATTACATGTCTCTGATGTAATGCGGAAGGGCAAAAGACTCCGTCTTTTGGGGTTTTATGAGTGGCTGAGAGCGTGTGTGGTTTTGCAGGCTGACGAGGGAGCAGTACCTGAGCACTGAAGAGTTCATTGAAGCTGTGGCCGATGAGCTCAAAGCAAGACTCTTGCCCTCTAAATTTTAAAACTCAGGCTTCAGAGACTTTCTTTCTTTCTTTCCAAAAACGGTAAAATTTCTCTCGTTCGATGATTCCATGGCGAATCCATGCCTGATCAGTTTTATGTACCTCTCACATGCCCAAACGTGGGGCCCATTTGCTGGAGACATTTTCTGATTTTGGGTCGTAATGGACTTTTTTAGCTTTTCATTTTATTGGGCCTCACTTGAGCCCAAATATAAAGATAATGCATTGTTATGGGTTTTTTCTTTTTTTTTTCTTTTATTTTAAAAAAATTGCCGTACCAATGGTTTGGCAATCAAAATCTGAAAATTAGGTTTTTCTGAAAAAAATTTTTAACCACATTGAGTGATAGTATTAGAAGTAATTGTTTTTTTACCCTTTTGATAAGGTTTATCTATGACATGTATATATATATATATATGTACATAACCAAAGAGAGTGAGAGAGAGCTTATAACCACGCACCGTTAAGGAGAACATGTTTCGGATCCAACAGCAACGAAGTAAAAGCAGTGTTAACTCAAAATAACCATTCTGAGTTGAAGAACAGATTCATAACAATGGCGTTGTAGATTTCACAACTTACAGACAGTATCTGCATCTCCAGCCTTTTTATTCTTAATACAGACGACAAATAAGTAGCACCGACACGAAATCCATAAACCCAAGCATTCGTTTTCCACGACGAACGAGTGCACAAGACCTTCCCTCGTCCTTTATCCCGTCCCCCGGTTCTCAGCCCTATGTATCTGCCAAAAAGTTCATGCCATAAACAACGTTAGGACATATGCAATCGTGCAGTCATTTGCTCAGCTCAGGAACTCGCAGCCATTACTCCTCGTGTTCGTATATTAGGATGAAGATCGTATAGATTCAGATTCGTGTAGACGTATGTTAGGAGAAAGAACGATGAAGGTGAAGGAACTAACCATGCGGGGAATGGGAATTAGCAGAGGAGAATCCAGACGAAACCATGGGAATAGATATGGATAGCTGAGTAGTTGTTGTATACTGGTTTGATCTATCGTCTTCAAGGCCGGACCAGGAGGCTCTGGCCTTGGGCCATTCGTCGAGGAAGGGTCGGAGAGATTGACCGTCATGTTTCGTGGCTTCTCCCGATGCAAAGTCGATGTTGAAGAAGGACGAGCTCTGGTCATAACTGTTCTGAAGGCTCCCTTGCATTACTGGCCACGTGTTACCGTTTTCTAACAAGCTCGTCTGAACGTTCTTGTTGCTTCCAGAAGCGGCCGAGAAGAAACTGTGCTCAACCGACTCTGGCTTCAGCCCTTGCATTTGCATATACCTGGGGGCATTTGCACAGAACTATTATAATCGCCGGAAGAATGAACAAACAATTCTATATCCAACCGAAGGAAACCCAGAAAAGACTACATTTTCGGTTTCTCAATGACACTATTATTTCAACAATGAAAAGAGCATACGATTCCATCGAGTATAATATAGTCAATGAAAACTGACAGATCAAAGTATGGAAGAACAATACCCATAATCCTTGCTCGGAATCCCAAACGGAATCGAATCCACGTTGTAGGTTGACTGATCGCAGTTCACAGAAGCAGTTGCGGGTTGAATATTGCCAAAGCGATGCAACGGAATATTCTGGTAGTTTCCAGAATGGCCACCACCCGGGACAACCGTGAACAATGATGTCGCGGTGGAAGATGAAGAAGACGAGTGCATACTTGTTGTGGTATTAGTAGGTTGTAGTGATGATTCCACAGGCTTTCTTGAACGGTTGCGGCCACGATGCATGTGGCGCTCGCAATACTTGGAGTCGGGGTGTGCCTCTTTGGAGCACCTCCATTTCTTCCCATCTGTCCTCCGGCATCTCCCCGGCTCTGGATCTATCTTCTTCCCATATAGGGAACACGAGCTAACTGCACAACACAAGACATACGATCATAAGCGAGGAGGAGTAACACCAAAATGGCAGATTCAACAATCATAGAGGGAAAGTACGTCATGGGTCGGCCAAAAGAAACAGATTTCTAAAGAACATGATCATATATGAAAGAAAAGAAGAGTTAAATCATGGAGAAACGAGAAAGAAGTCAGAGAGAGAAAGAGAGAGATGAGCTCACAAGAAGGGTGGGTGAAGAACCGATGAGAAATATTCTCAAAGCTCTTTTGGATAGGGAGAACCAGATCAGGAGGAACAGGAAGACCTGCAATGATGTACTTGAAGATCAAGGCTTGGTGCTCAAGTTCTTGCCACTGTGACACTGTAAATAGCGATGATGACCTCATCACCCCTCCTCTCCAGTGGCTAAAAGCCATAAAAAAAATAGAATAGATATAAACCTACAATTTCAGGAACCAATTATACATGAAACTACGGGTTTTTTTTCTCAAAAACATAATATTAGATTCTAAATAGGAATCCACGCATCAATCACTACATCAAGATAAGGTTCAAGATCAAACAATCCCATGATTTCTAGGGGCATCTAGCCTACAAGAATCTAATCACAATTTCCAGTTCGCATGTCTATGATCGAAAGAGCAAAGACAAGTTGTGATCAAGCTCCTTCACCAATACAAATCCGCTTTTTAAACCTCGAAATCAGGTTTGTAACCTCTCGATCGCTTCTCCTTCAACCAAAACAAATGTTAAAGGTTTCCAATAGCAAATATTGATTCCAAAAATCAAGATTTACAAGTTTAACTCTTTAAAGATTAATCAACTCTAATTCACTTAACTCGAAGGTAAACCGATTTGAAAACCTTTTTCACCTAGTTCTTGCCAAAACACTAAGGTTCATGAAAAAACCCAACTCCATAATAGAGCTCCTAGGATCAGATGGACCAAAATCATGTCTTCAAGCGACTTCGCCGGCGACCTCACCGACAAGAACCATTGATAGTTGCCGCCGCCAAAAACGAGGTTTATCCAGCTAAATGAAATCTAAAACCTAACAGAAATCAAGTTTTTATTTCCCGACAGTCGCCGCCGCCAAATCGGTCGGTTATCTTCTTTCAGGAGATTCAACTTACGCGGAAAAACGTACTCTGGTTACGGCAATACCAAGAGGTTTTCCAGTTAAATTTCGTCTGGAAGAAAAGACCGAACGGAAAGACCCACGTCGGTGAGTCACGTCGGAGAAGGAAGAAGAGACAGAGGAGGAAGACGAAGAAGAAGCTTACCGGACGACGACTTCCGAGGGCGGCGGCAGAAAGTTTCCGGCGGCGGTGGGACGACGACGAGTTAGCGAGAGAGGCGGCTCGAAACCTACCACCACTACTCACACGCACCAACGGCCCTGCTGTCATCTCTTTTCCCTTTTAAACAAATATTTTCTTTATTACAATTTCAGTCTTTTAATACTTACAGATGTTTGTTTCGGTCCCAAAACTTGTAGTTTAATCAATATGACCCTAAATTTAAGCTGAAAATTTTAATTTCACCATAAGAGCCGTCAATTGAAATAATTCACATAATGCCGACTTGCAAATTGAAAGGTTATGTGTTCTACGAAATTAAGGCACTGAAATGAAATTCTCTTAGGAATGTATCATTTTTTTTTTCATGATTTAGTTTCCAAAGATATGGTTATGTAAAATGATCCTTTTCATGTTACTAATGATGTTGAAACTTTCATAAATTAAGATACTTGGAAGTTTGAGAATGAAAGAAGACAGTTATTTTCGGTTTAGATTGGCCATTATTCGGATTTCGGTTTGATTCGATTACTTCAATTTTAAAAAATTTATAACTAATTGATTTTTATATTGAATTCGGTTTGCTTTGGGACACCATACACCTTTTAGTTTTTTTTTATGAGAGTAAGTAGATCGTAAGACCAAGCCATTGAAAACAACTATAATTACAAAAGAACCAATGTATATCCAAAACAGTGTTGGGTTCAATGTTTTGTCGGGAACGAAGAAAGAGACTTGCCAATGGACGGACAGAAGAACTGAGTCGAGGGGGAAAAGGAGTGATTGAAGAATCGGTCGTTTCCTACTCACACTTTATAGAGCCGTAGATGTGGCGGACGAATACGAGAGACGCGCGGAATCCGATAGTCCCGAGCATTAGGAAGAAACCGTAGCAGATGCAAGCCATGTATCCGAAGAAGAATGACGTTTGCATGAAGCCTGACATGTCGGACCGAGCGTGATAGTAGTACAAGCAGTATACGTATATGAACAATCCCGTCGATCCCCCGCACAGAAACGACCTACGGAGCGAAAAATTCAAACAGATCGATCGGAAAACAGTATATACAACAACAAAACCACTAATAGAGTAACCGTAGGTTAACTGATTAAAAAAGAAGAAGATAAGGCATACCTCCACCACCATTCATGGTCTTCGGCTGCGAGTTGGAAGTATGTCAAAGCGATCGTGATAAAAGCGGTGACAATGACGAGAATGATGAAAACTATGAAGAGAATGCTGTAGATGGTGTAGATTCTGTGACCCCAAACGCTAGCGAATATGTAGTATAGCTCGATGTAGATCGCGCTGAACGGCAAGAAACCGGCCATGGCCATCTGGGGAATCGTCCTCCGGTACCAATGCAACGGTGGGATCTCCCTCGGGTATTTCGTGGTCCGGCATGGAGCCTGAAACTCGGCTTTACTGTTCTTCCCGGCAATACCTCCCAATATTAGCAATGGTGATGTTACGAGTGCCCATATAAGGAAAATCACCACGATCGTTCCGAATGGCAAAGCGGCAGTGGCTTTGTAAGCAATCGCGACAGTATTGAGGAAGCAGAAAGTGAGGAAGAGAGGTCCACAGAAGAGGCCTCCGGTCAACAACAGATTCCTAACCTGTTATTACAAAACATTGTCATCTTCCTTGATCATTCTACTTAAATGAATAACAATGTGACATAAGAGGAAGCTCAACTGAAAATATTCCTTGGCATCAAAACCTTGGAAACATACGATATAAACAAGAATGATATATCAAAAAGCAAGGTCAAATGAGGCGAAATATGCCAAATGATTGGTAAGTTAAAACGGTCGTGGTATGATTTTTCAACCGGCTACTGTCAATTAATTACACTGCATAATTGCAATCCTCAGTCACTTCTATCAAGTGCATAAAAACTATACCAGAAGAACTGCCAAATATATTTCAAGAAGCAACGTCAACATAAAGATCAAGGGCCGGACAGACAAGCAGGGATATCTAGTAACAAAAGAAAATAATCACGGAAGAAAATCCCATAATACCATCTATACATACCCAGTTAGACCCTTCTAGCTGGCAATAGAATGAAGCAGCAGTATATCCAGAGATCCCGGAAGTGAGTGCATATATGACAACCAGTGCAGTAAACAATGCTCCTCGGTTGTAGGGATAAAAGACACCGACCAAAGCAAGCATAAAGATGAAAACCGCTCTGCATATAATACACTTTGTAAGGTGACAACAAATAGAGAATAACAAGCATGTGCAGATACACCGGCTCAGTGCAGAAACTTACAGGGTAAACAGCTGTGTGCCAGAACCGATGGCTGCAGCCAGCAATGATTTGTGTTTTGGGAACCTAAACACATCTCCGTGAATTAACTTCCATCCAGTCTCCTCTTGGTCATCAGCTGTCTCTTCATCATGGGTGTATCTGTTAATCAAGTACGGTAAATAAACATAGATGGATAAAAGCATTTCAAATCTAGTTGTGCTATGTGCACTATAGCTAAATTCTCACTTGACGAAATCATTCTTCAAGACTCGCATGAGAATTGTTGCAAGGAAACCAGTCAAGAGGAGAACAGTAATGCATGAGTTAATGATTGAGAACCAATGTATCTCCAAGTGATGAGGCATTGAGGAAGCCAGAGAATACTTCTCCATCCTCTTCTCAAATGGAATCTCTGTTTCTTTCCATCTGACAGTGTACATGAAGTCCACGTCAATTTCCTTGTCCTCAGTCACATCCACAAGGGAATTCTGGTCTGTCCGGACAATGATTTCGATAACCCGATCCTTATTGTAGAAAATTTCAAACTGCAGATGATTGAAGAGATAGTATCTGTACTCAGATGGATTAGTTTTCCGTTCCCTGTCGACTTTTCCCAAGAACCCCCAGATGGGCAAGTCATCATAATACATTTGAAAGTAGTAGTCTTTCGATATCGCCTCTCGAAATTGAGAAACCTCTTCCCTATTCAACCTCTTTTTGCAAGCAACTTCAGAGTCCTTGTCACCCAAAAACTCCAGTTTGTAGGGAGCACTGACCAATCGATCTCCATTAAGGACTTCTCCAAGAGCTTCCTTCTTTTCCTTAACAGGAGCTATAATAGATGTGCATTGCTAAGCAAAGTTGGTAAATTACCTACAAAGGAAAAGAATCAGGCGAACACACATACCTGATGAACAGAAAGGGAGGTCAAAGTAACGATATGTTTCGCTGCAACGCACAACAAACGGCTGGGTGAGAAACATTATAGGGAAGCATATTATGTCATTGGCCACCAAAATATACTGCAATTAACTGAATTTTGAGTCATAGGTTCCTGGAATCTGTTTAAGCATCCGATGATGGATTCAATGCAGTTTTCGTAAATGTGTAAATTCACTAAACACCCCACTAGATTAATCCAATCGCTTGAGCTAATTCAGACTGTTCACGTAATAACCGAAAAGACAGAGAAACCTAGAATTATGCAAGCGCAATTCAGAGTGCAAACCCACGAATCGTAGCTTACTAATGCCACAGTCCAGAAATTGGAAAAAATACAGCCCGAACTATGAACAGAGTGACGTCCATGAGTGAGAGGAAGAAAATCCAGTGAAATGCACATGAAATTGGAAATCACTGAGAAATCGAAGCTCATATCTGGAGAAGGTCGGTGAAATTCAAACACCTTGGGTTGTGAAACGGCCCAACTTTGTTGGCGTAAAGCGGAACATCGTCCCCGGCCCTGTAACGGTGGTCAGACCCGTCGGATCTCACCGTAGAAGCACCGCAGAGGAAGAGCAGCACGAGAACCGCCGTCGCCACCGGGCGCGACGCCGACGACGCCATTGATGACGATCACCGGCTGAGACCCAGAGAGAGAGAGAGAGAGAGAGAGAGAGAGAACTAAAAAAATAGTGAATAGGAGGAGATGATGGGTGGTTCGGATCTTGGGATTAGTGAGTAAATAGCATTCTTCTTGTAAGGTTTACATTTTGATGCTTTGGATTTAAGCAAAAATTAAAATTTCCGACCCGGCCGGCCCGACCCGGTTGGTTACGGGTCCTTTCGTATGCCTAACGGTTCATAATCAATCATGGTTTGAGGAGCATAATGGAAAATTGGATTTCGGAGGATCATTTACATTACAAAGCAACATTCTAAAATTTAGCATTACAAATTTTGGGGAATGGATTTGTTTCATTTTTATCCAAATAAATATCAAATTAAATTCATTTAAATTCGACTAGTCCAACAACAACTGTAATTTCTGAAAACAATTGAAAAATAACATTTTTACAAGATGTGTTCCTTTCTTTCTTGTTTTCATGGACTTTTTTTACATCTATCTCTCAAAACATTTGTGATGATGGAAAATACAATGTACAAGATTTAGATTACAAAAGAGTCTGTAGTCGTTTGATACGAGAATATCAAGAACAATTGTTACCTGTTGTGATGTTCAAAATCATGTTAACACATATTTTATGGTGGTGAATGATGGACGTTTGAGGTGGTCGGATCACAAAATAATTGTTAGACATTCAAAATAACCAGATCGATTGTCGTAGGATGTATGATTTAATTGCGGTTAGAAATACTCTCTTTGGATCGTGGAAGGTATAGTTAGGACGAATCTTCGTTGAATTTTCTAATTATCAAAAAAAAAAAAACTTTGAAACTAGGAAGCCTAATAAGCAGAATATTTATTTATAATAATATAAATAACTGCTAGATCCTAAGAATCAGAAACGGTTTTCTCTGTTTGTAAAAGGCGCCTTATTTTGGTTGAGGGAAAAAAAAACACAACGTTTCGTGTGTTTCCCTTTCGAACAAAACCAAAGAGTCTCGTCTCTTTATGAAAAAAAAAGCTCTGCAACTACTCTCTGTCTGAAACAGAGATAGAGATTCCTCTCACGCAAAGACAAAGGTGGTCTCTTTTTTATTTTTTATTTATTTTTACTGTATAGATAATTGGTATATACATATGTAAATATATAATACTCTTTTCAACCTCTGATATTCTTTTATCTTATTTTCGAATTTTTTCTGGGTTTTTTTATTTGTTCAAATCACTTTTGAATGTGTTTTCTTTTTCATGTTTCAATGTTTTTGTAAAGATGGTTCCTTTTCCTTTTTTTTTTCTTCTGGGTTTTCTATAAACACTACTCTAATCTCACAAGATTATAAAATCAAGGAAATCGCAGATTTTTCCATTTTTTTTAATTATAGAACGTCACGTAAACCCTAACATAAACAAAGTTCTTAAAAGGGTTTATTCTTTCTATTTTATTCAAAAGATGGATTAGTTAATAATCCATCCTTAAACTGCAATCCTTTAATTGCATTAATTAATGCATAATAATATAAGATCTCCACATGATAACACTTCCTTTTTTACGTACGGAGGTTTTCAGGGTTTCTTCAACTTGCGTCCCAAGCTTTAATATATATATATATATAGGCTGCTCGAAGAGTTTGATCAAAGCTGTTCATCTCTCTTTGTGCCGCTTCAGGTGATTACACATTTTTCTCCAGAAGGAAAAAACAAGCAGAGAAAATCCGAGAGACATATCAAAATGGTTCGGATGAGCAGATGCGGTCTTCTGTTTCTGATGATTATACTTTCGGATTCCACCACATGCCATTGCTGGGGCTGGTTCTCATCTTCTTCTGCAGAAACCGGAACTCACCATGAAAACCCAGATTCTTCTTGCCCTAAAACTCACCGCTCCAATTCCGAATTCTCCATGGAAGTGTTCAGCGATCGGAAAGCGGTCCAAGCCCTTGAAAACGCCCAAACTAAGCTCGTGGGGCCAAACAGTTGCTGGCAGAATGCTTACGGGTATCTCTTCTCTGGTTGCAAGGAGATTGTGGCCACCGAAGAGAAGAGGAAGCGATTTGCTTGGCATCTGAGCGATTGCTTCCTTCGGGACTCGGGAAGGCGAGCTTTCCCGACCTGCAGTGATAAATCCACAATGGTGAATTGCATCCAGAAACTAGATGACCATGAACATAAGATCTATCTCGAGTTCTTGCTCGAAACCAACACTATCTGCTACCAATTACAGTAAGAACCTCAACCCTTTTTTTTTTTTAACTTCTTTTCAGTCTTTCTGCATTGATATAATCAATGGTTTCTGTATTTCTGGAGAAGATGTTAATGTATTCACTTGCCTCGGTTTCTTGACGTGGCAGGAGCTATGCGTTCAAAAACGACATAGAGAGGTTGGTGAATGAACTGAGAAGATCGGCAGAAGATACAGAGGATAAACTGGATATCCTAGAGAAGAAATCTGATCTTCTGATGGAGAGATCGAGTGTGATCCATGAATCTTTAGGTTCGATAGATCTCCGAGTTCAAGGTGTGGCACAGATGACAAACACCCTCGAAACTCATATGAGTGGACTGTCTCAGCACGCAAATGAAATATATCGAGAAGCAAAGAACATTGCAGAATCACAATGGGTGCTAAGGGAAGGACAAGAGAAGATGAGTGAGACCTTGAAGGATGGGATGGACATGCTCAGTGATGCATACGATAATCTCGGGGAAGGAATCGATAAATTGAAGAACGAAACGCATGAGATTGAGGGGGAGATTACCAAACTCGGGAGTTCGATATCTTCCAAGATGAATGATCTGCAGAGGAAAACAGATGATATCGGGACTATGGCCGGCAGTTCTCTGGATAAGCAACAGATGCTTCTAGATGGGCAATCGGTGGCTCTCGAGGGTCTTCAGTTTCTGACCCGGTTTCAGTCCGAGGCACTGCAAGAGAGCAGGTAACATAGGAAGATTCTTGATCAAAACCAAGCATTCTTCAAAAGGGTTTTACCGAAATTTGTCACCAAATTTTGTAGGAATACCTTGGAAAGACTAGCAGAATATAGCCAGAAACAGCAGGAGGAGCTTGTCAAGAGGCAAGAACAGCTTCAGCAGGTTCATGATCACCTGTTTGAAAGCTCCAAATCGATTTTGGCAGCACAGGTCAGACATTCAAGACTTAGCAAATTCTGAAAGCTAGCATGATAACATTGTTAAACGGCTAAACTGATAATAAAACCATTTCACAGGAAGCGTTTGAGGCGAAACAAGCAAGCATGTTCATAGCTCTGGATAAGTTATTCGCGTTGCACAATGCAATGCTTGTTGAATCACGGTTGATTAAGGCTTTCTTCATCTACTTCATGTCAATCTTCGTCATCTACATGTTTACCAGTACCAAACAAACTTACACTATAAGGCCAAGGCTTTACATCGGTAAGTACCATTTCTTTTTTGGGTTTTCTCATGCCATATTCATAATAAATAAACTCAATGACAAAGTTCAAACCTTACCTGATGCAGGCTTGTGCATCACCCTGGTGTTAGAAGTGATGACTCTCCGTCTCATGAACGACACAGAACGGCAGGCATGGATGACGAATCTTGTCAGATCCCTCTTTGCCGTTCTTGCTTCAACCCAGCTTCTTTATGCAGTTTTCACATACAGGTATGACCGAAAATCTACAAGTATCATAGAACAAATTTAGCAGTCTTTATCTCAGAAACTGAAGACAAATCTTGGACAAAAATGCAGGGACTATGAAGTATTAAACCACCAGATTTTGTTAAGGCTAGTAGAAAAGGTTAACGATATTCAGAGCAACACAGATTCTACATGGAGCGACAGTGAGGTGGATTGGTCATCCTGGATTGATGAGGACTTGTCTGATGATGAGGACAACCTTAAAGATCCTGATTACAGAATTCCAGAAGAGATAAAGAACAATTTGCTTACCTCTTCAGAAACGAGAAGATCGTATAGCCTCCGTCACCGATAGCCGGCAAATGATTTTTGTAGAATCATCAAATTTGGCATCTGCTCATTGCCCAGTGAAGTGTTATGATAATGAGGATGTTGTAGAACAAACAAAATGCAATGGCTCTTGAATGTGCTTACATTACTGTACAGATGAATCTATAGTATTGTTTCCTTGGATCAAACCCAATCCTTTCCTCCGGAACCTTCCTGAACGGATCAAGCATCTCATACCACCCGGCAATCAACGAATTCCAAGAAACGATTTTTCTCTGAGGCATTCCATCGAACACTTTCAAAGCGTCTTCCGTAGAACCACACTCCATGCACAACTACAAAACCGCATCGTTCGCCACCTGATCAGCCTTCTTCATCCATTTCAAGGTCTGGGTAGGGATTCCTTTACCAACCCAGATCCTCTCTCAGGATCGACAACGCAAAATTCCCGGGCCCGACGAAATTGCCCAACATAGCAGCTTAAAGAAGCATAGGTTCTCTGGGTAAATCATTTCTCTCAGTACTCAAACTTCCTCTGCAACGATTCCGCCGCCGAAATCAACAAAAGTTCTCCGAGCGAGATCCATTTGGCGGCAAACGGAGAAGAGGGCTATAACACAATCTTATCTTTAAGCATGTATATACAGCTATATATAGACGCGTATATACATACCCACATGAAAGTTTTCATTTTCATTGGCGATTTGGCATGGAGTACCCACAGAATCCGAAGACATAAATCTACAGATAAACAACTTTACATCCAACATCGACGGATTTCTTGACAGCATCAATCACCAGCTGAGTTTTCCGGCTGATCTCCGGCCACCGCCGGTCAGCCTTGGAGACGCCACTCTTGATCCCTCCGACGAGCCTCACGAACTCCGTCAGCATCATCACCTCCTGCGACATTTCGCCGCACTCCACAGTCACTTTCTCCGGCTTCACGTTCCAACCTACGTGCATGTCAACGAATTGAGCGCCGGTCGTGTACTCGAACGAAGCCTTGTCCTCCTCGTACGGAATGACATAGTCGTTCACCCAGATCGATCCCTTTGATCCTGGTTCATTATTTTGACAAAGCATTCTTTATCCAATTTGTATATAAATATACAGGATTAAAAAATGGCAACATTACGATGCTGGCTCGTGCAATTTCGAATAAATATGACCTAAATCTTTGAACAAAAACAAAAAGATCCAAACTTTGTAAAAAAGTGATGATCCAACTCATAAAAGTCGTGTCTTTTCTTGTCATAACATATGGACCTGTGATGGCCAATTCGGTTGAAAGGTGTGAGAGGAAGGAGCAATGGACGGTTGCAGTGGCGGTCGGGGCGTAATGAAGAGAGGCGGAGCAAGCCAAGATGGCGCCGGAGGAGTTGGTGACCACCGATGAAGGAAGAGCCATGACGAACGTCGGTAGTTCGTGAGCCATGGCCCATAGGACGGCTCCTATGGGGTACCAACCGAGCTCTCCAATGGCACCAGCCGAGCCCATTGCATCTTTGCTCAGCCTCTCTAACGCTTGTTCTGGTACAGGGGTCGTCATTGTGCTGTATATCTGATCATAACATAAAACACAAAGGCAAACATTTATTAACGATGTTAGACGTTTTAGAGTGATGGTTATTTTCATAAATTGCTATATTAAAATTTATGAATAATTATATATATGAAAGGTTATATAACTTTTTTTATCGGATATAAAACTTCATATGGCAATATTTTCACAAAAGCTTGCGACTTTTTAACGCAAAACAACTCATATCATAACACCGAAAATTATGTCCATTTAAATGAAAAGTTATATTAAAAAAAGTTATATAACCTATCAATCATTCATAAATTCTAATATACATTTTTACGAAAATAATCACTATAGTAAAAAAAATCCAAATATAAAACGTGGGGTATTTACACGAGTCAAATAAATTTTCAGGGGGCGATTTGTAAATAAGGCAAAGCTTACGTGGCGAACATCTCCGAGCAATTCGGAATTGAACACCATTTCTTCAATCCTGGCCGTCCGTTGATGATGCAGCCAAATCGCACCGTCCATGAACTGTACACCGTTGGATTCGCACGCCTCCAGGAGCGATTCCAGCTCCGCCGCGTCGATCGCCGGAGGTTTCTCCACCACCATGTGCTTCTTCTCCCCCCCCGCCGCAACAGCCCATCGCCCCCGCAGTGTCACCGGTAACGGCAGGTAAACGGCGTCGATGCGTTCATCGTCGAGCACTTCTTCGTAGCTTCCGTACACCGCGACGGTCTCCGGCGAGAGACCGTTCGAAACGGCGAAGTTCTTCGCCGTTTCGAGGGAGGGATCGCCGACGGCGAGTATAACGGCGTTAGGGGAAAGTAGAGTAACGGTTCTGACGAACTTTGACGCGTACTTGACGGCGCATCCGAGGATCCCAAAACGCACCGTCTTGTCCGTCATGGTTCATCTCTCTGTTTCAGAACTTGGAGAGACGGGTCTACTGCGAGTGAAGGAAGTGCTGAGAGGTGACGATATGATATGGACACGTGGCATCTCTTGGGCCTTAATAATGAATTTATCTTCTTCCAATTTGTGTTTTTATTTTTTATTTTATCACCAGAAGATAATACGAAACATATACTGATATACCTAAAATTCGACGGTTTATGCTTTCTTTTTAGCATGCTGAAAACTCATACCTCGCAAGCCCACTTTCACTTTCCGTCACTTTCCCGAGAAAAACAAAAACAAGAAGGCCAAGAAAGAAGAGATGGAGAACACGACGGAGCGGGACGACCACTGCGTGTTCCACGAAGCCGCCATAACATTTCTCGCGACCGAAGAACTCGATCCAGTGGCGAAACTCATCTCCTCGCTCTTGCGGCCACCGGAAAATCAAGACGCCGAGGCAAAAATCAGTCGAAACACATTTTACCGGTTCTGCTCCACCAATTTCCCCAACTCCATGTCTCTGAAGCTCCTGCAAATCTACGCATCGCCGGACAAGACAGGATACGACGATAACATAAGGCAGATCGCGATCAGACACCTCAACGTTCTGGTCTCGAATCACAGAGGAAAAGGAGAAGAGCCGCTGTTACCTTTCTTAGCACTCAAAGGACTCGCCCGATTGCTCATCACGTGCCTTGTCGAGCAAGAAATCTACGAGGACACCTTCAAGATCCTCGCCCAGGTGGCATACCACATCGCTTTCGAGATTTCCCTACGTCAGTCCATTTTCTGGCCCGATCTCCTCAAGTTTATATCATCGAATGCCGAGAAAGAGTTCCATCTGGCGGTGACAACAATCTCTTGCTTTCTCTCCTGGATCCTCTTCCCCCGCCGATCTTGCAGTGGCTACAACCCTCTGAGTTAAGCAGAAGGAACAACTGGTCTCTGGCGTTTGCGAGCGCTTTCTGCGCGGTTATTCACTTGATCGAGGCAGAACAGGTCGAACTGGTGGAATATATCGTCAACGAGATGCTGAAATCGGCGACGGAGCTCGTGAACAGCGGGATGGAAGTAGGGTTTGTGAGGAGAGGCGTCAGGGAAGTGGAAATGCTTGTGAGGAAACGACTAGACTGGTACTCTGAATCAGATTACGAATTCGTTTCGGATCTGATACAAAGGTTGGATGGGATCAAGGGCTTGAAAAAGGAAACAAAGATGGTGCTATGGAGAATACATATGGCTATGGAGATTCAGACAAGAAAAAGGAACAAGAAGAAGAAGCTTAAAGTTGCAAAAGGTTCATCCAAACTGGTTTTTCTGAATCCGAGTGGAAAAGACGCAGCCGCTCTCATCTCTACACTCCTTCAGCTCCTAGAAAGCCAAAAAAAACAATCTGCGAATGTTTTTTACTTGTTCTGCTGGGAGTATTTGCAGAATGGCTTAGCCGAAATGATCTTCAACGTGTATCAATGCTCCATAGATGCCCCCGAGAACAGATCGAAATCGATTTCTCTCCTTTGTGCCCTTCTCACTCATTTCGAGGAAAACGATGTGAACCTCTCTCGCTTGGCCATCCGGAAGATCAAACCCCTTCTGATCTCGAGCCTTTCATTGCCCGTACCCCGAGATTCAGACGTCGAGATTCTGTCAAAAATCACATATTTAGTAGCCCTCGACGCTTTCACGTCAAGCAACAACGGTTGGGACGAGCTCTGCGTGTGTATCTATTGGATGGCAATGGACGATCTGCGCAAGGCATTATACTTCTTCCGTGACTTGCCTCCGGTTTACGAGGACTTCTTGTTCGCAATGGTGGAGAGGATTTTTCCAGAGATCTTGACCCGTCTGAACCAGGAACGGGGCGATGCCAAAGATTGGAGCTTGGCGTTACAAACAGCTTTCAAGATGGCGATGCAGCTGTTAGAATCATCGAGAATGGACTTGGCAGATAATATTCAGTATGCGATGGTGATGTGGGCGAGTAAGCTTGTGAGGCAAGAAAAGCAACAGATTCTGCAACAAGGGCTTGAAGAACTGAGGTGGATTGTGGAGGAATACACGAAACAATACAAGTACGACGCCAATCAACACAAATTCGCTTTAGGTTTGGCGTCGATGATGGCGAGAATGGCGGGAGCCGGAATGGAGATCAAAGCTGTTGCGAGGGAGATTTACCAGATTCTTAAATCCAAAAACCCTTAGGGTACTGATTGTTGAATATGTGACTCAGATTTTGGACAGGCTGTACTGCAGGGTTCTGTTTGAACAATTTCATAAAGTTGGGGCGAATTCGTTATTTTCTTAAAAATGGAGGAACCTTTAAAGTTTAAACTGCAATTAAATTAAGCTCTAGAGGAAGAGTTGCAGAAAAGTACAGTGATGCAGAACACAGATTCGTGCTGATATTACAGGGTTTGCCATTTGTTGATATTATACAACAGCTTTTCCCTGAATTACACGTATATACACACACACACATATATATATATATCGTGATGAGGAAGTAAATATAAGATCCGTGGAGAAGAATATGAAAAGCAAATATGGAAAACAAGAACGCGTTGCTGATAGCAGCGAAGAAGGTTCTGGCAACTGAAGACCTCAAACTGATGCAAGAACTCATCTCCTCGCTCTTTTCGTCGCCGGAAAACCAACAGATCCGACCGAGAAACGAGCTGCTTCGGAGAATCTACCGCTTCTGCTCTACGAGATTCCCCAACTGTCTGTCTCTGAAACTCTTACGGGTCTACGCTGATCCAAGATTCGGAGAGGACGTGAGAAGGAGCTCGATCGAATGCCTCAACGTCCTCCTCTCCGTTAACGGAAAAGGAACAGAGCCCTTGTTAGAACTCGTAACCCTCCAAGAACTCTCGCCATTGCTCATATCTTGCCTCGAAGGTCATGGAATCCCCGAGAACGCGTTCAAGACTCTCGCCCTGGTCACGGACCGCGTCGCCCGGGAGATTTTCGTCTGCCACGACATCGTTTGGCCCAGCCTCGGCACGTTCATATCGTCAAGAATCAAGCCTGAGTTCAAGAAAGCGGTTTACATCTTCCAGAGCTTGTCAATGCCATTGAACGAGGACGAGTTCGTGGCTCCTCTGATGAAGAATCTCCTCCCGCCGATCTTGAAATGGTTAGACCCTTTGATGTTAAACCAAGAGAACAACTGGGTATTGGCGTTCTTGGGTGCTTTCTGCTCGGCGATTCACATGCTCGGGACGAGACGGGTCGATCTGGTAGGTAACATTGTCTACGAGATGCTGACTTCAGTGACAGAACTGGTGAAGAGAGGAATGGAACTAGGGTTTGTAATAAGAGCCTTCAGAGAGATGGAAATGATCATGTCGAAACAATCCGACTGGTACTGCATCGACGAGTACAAATTCGTTTCGGGTTTGATACGAAGGATGAAAGGGATTGAGGGGATGAAGCACAGGACCAAGGCCGTCTTATGGAGAATTCAGTTTGTGATGGAGATGACCACGGTCAGATCTGTCAAAGTTCGAGACAACGGTGTGGATGATTGGCTCAATCAGTGCATTCAGAATGGAAACTTTTGAGGTTTTTATAATGTGAAATGTATCAAACTGAACTGAATTCTCTTACAAGACACGACAGAAATGTAGAATATAACTTTTACAGAAACTATAAATACAAGGGACCAAACTGAATTGATTCTTCAACTGTAACGGCAAATTCAAGACAAAAACTATTCCTCCATGTCCTCATCCTCGTCTTCTTCCTCTTCCTCGTCGCTGAGCTTGAGATCTACCAGCAACTCTTCGATCGGGACAGAAGGAGCACCTTCCCCGTCGGTCATAGAAGCAGTTTCAGAGGGCTGATAATCCTTGTCCCGGTACAAGGATACGTTAAACCTAAGTTCCGGATTCTCCTCAAGATCCCTCAAGAAATCTTCGTATTCCTTGCTCAACTTTTCTTCATCGCCTCTGCCTCTAGGATCACTGGTTTCCATCGGTAGCGACTTGAGCTTCCATGAGCGAGGCTTATTCTTTTTCATTTCCCTCTGCTCCTCGTAGCTCTTCTTGATCAGAATTACCTCGGGAAGTGAGCCGGACATCCCGCGTTTCTCCAGCTCATTGTCGTTCACGTTAGCCGCATAGAGATCATAGCCCAGAGCTTGGTCACCGGGTTTCAAGATATGGCCTAGATGGGTTGGGATGTAGAAGATCTTACCGATGTCCGATTCACGAGCAACCTGGGCATAGGACAGAGCATACTTTGTTCCACCGACAGTTAGTTCCCCGACTGGAGGTTCCACATCGAAGACAAAATACTTCACGAGCTGTCTGCTGGAGAGTGCAGATTTAAACCTGTATCTCCAGTACTGTTTTGCATCCAAGAAAGTATGCCGTAAGGTCATAGGATCGAGAAGAGTGATACTGTCGGATACCTTAGTGCAAATCACGATCGGGCCAAGGTTTCCCAAACTGCTGGCCACTTTTTGTGGCAAGCAGACAAGATCCTCGCGGCAAATGGGACAGATCTCAACGGAGAAAGTGTACTTGTAGTTGTAGTTGTTGCTCTTGGAATCATGAGAGACCAGACTCTTGTCATGGCGATAATCAACCGGAACAAGTTTACGCAGAAAGTCCACAAAGTTAACGGCATGACTCCTGTTCCCAAAGAAAAAATCAATACCCTGATCCACCTGTTGTATTCTGATGGCCCGAGAAGCTGCATCGTGTTTCAGTATCAGCTGTTCTAGATAGAAAAAGGTTCGTCGGTGAGGAACGTGCTGCCGGAGCTGAACCGAGGCAATCCATTGATCCGGGTTAGCCTGAATTCTAGAGCACGGGTCACACATCTGGTCTCTTATCGTGTATTCGACAACGTAAGCTTGCTCAAGAACCGCACCGTTGAGAACTTCTTTCTGAACTCTCAGCTTAACCTTGATCCTCTTGGAATGAGGCTCTGTCCAAACAAATTCAGCGTGAACCAACCTCATCTTATTCAGATTCTTCAGCCTCTTCACGCAGAAAGTCAAGAGCTCCTTCGATTCCCATTGAGCTTTGAGCCAAGTTTTTGGTGGCTGCAAGTAACAATCGCACTCGGGGCAATGGATTATCAGAACCTGTTTCTGCAATCCTTCCGTGATGTCAACTTCAGAACGGAGACAAGTCACGCACATATTGGCGGCGTTTGGTGCCATGGGAACACCGCACTTGCAGCACAGAACGCTGCCGACAGTTTGATGAACGGTGAACATGCCTGATTGTTGAGTCATCGTTAAACTCTGCAACAGCAAAGAGAGAAAAGCCAGAAATTTACATCAAAAGGGAAAGTACCCAGAAATATATTCAAAAGAGAAATACAAACTATATATGTTCCGAAGCAATCTGTCAAGTAATATGCATAAACTCAGAGAAGAAAAAGCCAAGAAATCGAAAACACAGTTACTCAGGAATCCCTAAACTTGAAGAGAAGCGAGACGGAGATGCAGATATGGGCCGAATAGTCACCGTCGATCAGAATAAACTGCACGGAGTCGATCCATAAACGCTCACCGAAATAAAACGACAGAAATCGACCGAGAAATCGACAGAAACATGCATGCTTACCACGGAAATCCACGAAGGAAGAGATTAACGGCTGCGACAGAGGATGAGAACGGCGATTTGGGGCCGTCGGAGAGGGAAGTCGAAAATTGAAGTTGAGGGAAGAAGAGAGGAATCGCGAGAGGCGAGAGGGGAAGTTGAAAACCGAGTGAGTACGAGAATCATAACCCTAGGATTTTTTATAAATAATTTTAAAACTAGGGGTATTTTAGACATTGTGTGTAAAACTCCAGGTCATAAAAATGGTAAAATTACAAAAATAATGGCAAATGTCCATATTGAGTTACCGTTTAGGTTTAGGATTTTCCAAATAAAAAAAAACTAAAATGACGAAAATACTAATTTGTCTTTAAAAAATTGGATACGTGGCAACAAAATATGAAATTTTTTTTGAAAAATTTATTCTTGACTTTTTCTAAAAATTCAAAACCTAATTTTTTTTTTCTTTTTCTCTCCACAATTTTTGAAAAATTAAATTTAAGAATGAATGAAAAATGTTCGGTAAAAATACTCAGAGAAATTTTGACTTTTAAAACGTCATACCGGTCATATCGGTCAGATTTTGATCATAACGATTATTTATTGATCAGTCATACTTTGAATGAATATGATTTATGTTAATAGATTTTTTTATACATAGAATTACACCACCAAAACGATGAAATGTATTTTTATAATCTTTATACAATTTTTTGAATTATTTAAATTTAATTTAAACTTTTATTTTTTGTATAAAAAAAAGTTATACCGATATACTTTGATAAAACGGTCAGACATTGGTTATACATTTAGAATTTTGTCAGACAGTCAAACTTATTGACATTTACATTTATTTTTACAATTTTATCGAGTTAGGAGATGATGATATTTTTTTTTAAATGCGAAGGTATATGTGTATACGCACGTTTACCAAATACGTGAAATGAAAAGAGGATGTATATGTGTATACGCACGTTTACCAACCTATACAGTCAATACTCAAGAGTTTTCTACATTTTCGAACGCTATTAAAAGGATAAAATATTAATCTGCATTAAAATTAATAATTTATAAAATTCAATGACATTTTAGAGATGAGATATTGTGACATTGTATTTATATTAATTGAATAAATAAATCTTATAAAATTTTATCGATAGATATAAGTCTACACGAATACAAGCAGCTTCTAAAGGTACTGACAAGAAGGGCAATGCAGCTGAAGTTCAAAAGGAAGAACCGTTAGATCCTCTTGCCGAGAAACTTCACCGGCAAAGGTAATCTCCGACCCGTTTCATGGTTTTGATTCAGCTATTATAAGGGCACACACATTCTTATATATGTGTTTTTCCTTCTTCTTCATCAGAGAAGCCACGAACTCGTCCTCGTCCAACGGCATCGACAAGCTCTGGAAGATTTAAACCGCTTTCTTGAACTCGGGTTTGATTCTTGACGACAGGAACGTGCTAGAGGCTGGGCCAAACGACGTTGTGGCAGACAAAAATCTCGCGGGCGACGCACTCCGTGACCAGGGCGAGAGTCTTGAACGCATGCTCAGGGATTCCATGATCTTGAGGCAAGATATGAGCAACGGCGAGAGTTCTTGGAGGGTTACGAGTTCTAACAACGGCTCTGTTCCTTTTCCGTTAACGGAGAGGAGGATATTAGCATTCATGCCAGCTCAGCAACGTTAGTTGCAGACGGTTAAATGAATGTAGCAAAGTTTTGGGTCAAGATTCATTTTTCTGTTAATTGTAAATTTTGTATATAAACATGGAAGAACTAAGGAATAAAGTTATCGACTTCATTTTGCTCATTCTGAGATTTTTCTTCTCAGCTTTCTCTCACTAAAAACAGAGTTCTTTGTTTCCTGAAATGATATCAGAGCATATTTTGCTTTGAATTCTGTTTCGATGTTTTTATTCTCATTAATTCTTCTCAATTCTTTCATTTTCTCAAGAAAATTCGATTTTTCTTTCCCTGGAAAATGGCGGCACCAATCACCGATCCTTACAGTCCCTACTTTCTTGGTAAAAATGATCATATGAACCTAATTCTCGTCTCCAATCACCTCGTCGGTTGTATCAACTTCAACTCTTGGAACAGATCCATCACTATGGCTCTAGAAGGAAGGAACAAGTTATGATTTGTGATATGAACTCTTCCTAAACCACCAGACACGGATCCAGATTCTAAACATTGGAATCGGAACAATCTCATGGTATATTTCTGGATCTTGAATTCTGTTTTTTAGAACAAATCTCTGAAAAGATTTTGTATTTCAAGATTGCTTCGGAAATGTGGACAAAATTGATAAGTATGTACCAGCAGAATACTATATCAAGACGTTATAAGATTAGGCAGAAACTCCATCACCTTCATCAAGGTTCTGATGATGTTTCCACCTACTATACCAAATTGTCCACAATCTGGAAGGAATTGAAGTCTGTGCAAACATCTCCTTATTGCACTTGTGGTATGTGCAATTGTGGAGCTGATCAAAAGTGAAAAGTGATTTTTGAAGAGGATTTCGTCATCCAATTTCTGTTTGGTTTAAATGATGTATTTGAACCAGTAAGGGATCACATCATTTTGATGGATTCTCTCCCCGCTCTTGCAAAAGCATTTAGTATTGTGATCAATCATGAACAATAAAAGCAAATCAAAGTGAATCCTTCGAGTGGAACAGTCGTTTTTTAGACTTCAACAAATCCTCCAGATCAATCTAAGACAGCTGCTGTAGTAAATGGTGGATATTATAAGAATCGTCAGAGACCTTTGTGCACTCATTGCGGACTGTATGGACACACAGTGAATAAATGCTACAAACTTCATGTTTATCCTCCTGGGTACAAGACTCCTGTTGTAACCTCACAACCTTCATCTGCAATAGTGCGATTGAAACCGACAAAATTCAATGGAAATCAGAATTTTGAGAACAGAGGTGTTATTGCTAATGTAGTGGCAAATCATTCTGACGGTAATGCTGCTACAGAGTTTGATTCGTTGATATCAGCTTAGTTACAGGAGATATTTGTCAAGCTTGGTGCTGCTCTGAATGTTTCTGGACCAACTAGTCTATACAGAACATGGAACACCAGAGATTACTCCTTCTGGTAATCATCTGATACTCTCATCTTTTGCTGATATTCCAATATTTGCAGTCTTGTCTGTTGGAAAGCAACATAACACCTGGATAATAGACTCAGGAGTCATAATGCATGTTTGTGCGCATAAGTCCTTGATGAGTTATGATCAATCGATACATTGTTTTGCAAAATGTTCTCTATGTACCTTTTTTTTCCTTCAATATCCTCAGTGTTTCTTCCCTTTTACAGACTACCAATTTACAAATTCTTTTTAGGTAAAATGATATTTTCCTACACGAATTTGTCAAAATGTGACAAATTCCTACACAGATTTTTAATTTAACAAATTTCTACATGTGAATTCAAATTTTACCAAATCTCTACACGAATTTTTAGAATCAGTAACAATTTTCATCACTAACCGAAACGCCAATCGATTTCCGTTAATGAGTATGTTGATGTGTCACGCCATGTCATATATTTTCCATATATACTGACACGTCGGTTGCCATGTCAAATATGAAAAATATATAGAATATCAAACATATAAAGTGGATAAATCAGTTTGGGGATTTAGGTTTTGCATTAGCTTCTCTCCTCCCTCTGTCGAACTGCCTCCGACGCAGAGGTGTGTCGTCGGCTTCGACATCGACGACAACGGTGTCATTCTACCCTCTCTCATCCCGTTCAAATCTTGTCCTCTCTGTTCCTAGTTTAATCTCTTCCTCTCCCATCTTGTTCGAAGCTCCTTCTCTCTCCTCGTGTTCGAAGTCCGTCGAATTTCTGCCCAGTAAGCGCGAAGGGAGGTAAGTTTTGTACTCTTTGTTCATTTTTCAAAGACTCTAGTCGATTAAGACTATGTCTCTGCTGTATGTTGTGATTATGGTGGGTATTTGTGTTATTTGGGTTGTTTTCACCGAATGTGGAATGGTATTGTTTAAAGCTGCTTATTGTCATCATAAAATTGTGTGGTTAATGATTGGAATAGGTGAGGTTATTTTTCGAGGTGATGAGTTATATATCGGATGGAGGTTCAAAATCGAGTCGGTGGTCAAATTGGAAGAAAGCTGAAGCAATTCCGAAATAAGATTTTCCACAAGAATGTGAATGTGGAGCTCCTATAGTAAGTTTAACATCTAAAACGCAAGATAATCTCGGTCGAGTTTCTCATTCTGAAATTTTTCTTCTCAGTTTTCTCTCACTAGAAATAGAGTTCTTCGTTTCCTGAAAGAGGACATTGAGGCATTGGATCGAGCTCCTTCTCACGTCCTCTCCGAATCTTGGATCAGCGTACACCCGTAAGAGCTTCAGAGACAGACAATGGGGGAATCTCGTAGAGCAGAAGCGGTAGATTCTCTGAAGCTCGTTTCTCGGTTGGAGATTTGTATGTATGTATGTATATGTGTAATTCAGGGAAAAGCTCTTGTATGTTTAAGGTTAAAATTACGAGTTTATGATAAATAATGGGCCGTAACGTCTAGTCTATAGTTAACTAATGGGCAATAACGCAATTGTGGGCTCATCCACAATCAACGAGCCTAGCCCATGTTTTGGGCTCAGCCCACTATTTCTTGATATATCCACATTTTGTTATATCTTAAGCTTTTGTTTTTTCTGTCGTTATGAATTGTATTTCTCTTTGAGCAATTTTTGTTTACACAATTTTATATTACAAATCTCCATATTGAATTATTAACATATCATGTTAAATGCTTAAATAATATATATTTCATTAGATCCGCAAGAACTAAAATTTAAAAATATCAGAATTAAAACATGATTAAATGATCTAATACTTGATGGACTAATCTACAAAATATCAAACTGAAATTCAATATCCTCACGAAATCAAATAAATCTGATTTTGGACAGGCTGTACTGCAGGGTTCTGTTTGAACATTTTCATAAAGTCGGGGCGAATTCGTTATTTTCTTAAAAATGGAGGAACCTTTACACTGCAATTAAATTAAGCTACAAAGGAGTTCCCTGAGCATGCGTTCAAGACTCTCGCCCTCGACATGGACCGTGTAGCCCGCGAGATTTTCGTCTGCCACGACGTTGTTTAGCCCAGCCTCGGCACGTTCATGTCGTCAAGAATCAAGCCCGAGTTCAAGAAAGCGGTTTACATCTTCCAGAGCTTGTCGATGCCATTGGACAAGGGCGAGTTTGTGGCTCCTCTGACGAAGAATCTCCTCCCGCCGAACTGATTCTATTACAAGACACGATAGAAATGTATCAGAAATTTCATCAAACTGAACTGATTCTCTTACAAGACACGATAGAAATGAAGAATATAACTCTTACGGAAACTATAAGGGGACCAAACTGAACTGATTCTTGAACTGTAATGGGCAAACGAAGACAAAAACTATTCATCCATGTCCTCCTCATCCTCGTCTTCTTCCTCTTCCTCGTCGCTGAGCTTGAGATCTATCAGCAACTCTTCGATCGGGACAGAAGGAGCGCCTTCCCCATCGGTCATAGAAGCCGTTTCAGAGGGCTGATAATCCTTGTCTCGGTACAAGGATACGTTAAACCTAAGTTCCGGATTCTCCTCAAGATCCCTCAAGAACTCTTCGTATTCTTTGCTCATCTTCTCTTCATCGCCTCTGCCTCTAGGATCACTGGTTTCCATCGGCAGCGACTTGAGCTTCCATGAGCGAGGCTTATTCTTTTTCCTTTCCCTCTGCGCCTCGTAGCTCTTCTTGATCAGAATTACCTCGGGAAGTGAGCCAGACATCCCGCGCTTCTCCAGCTCATTGTCGTTCACGTTGGCCGCATAGAGATCATAGCCCAGAGCTTGGTCACCGGGTTTCAAGATATGGCCTAGATGGGTTGGGATGTAGAAGATCTTCCCGATGTCCGATTCACGAGCAACCTGGGCATAGGACAGAGCATACTTTGTTCCACCGACAGTTAGTTCCCCTACTGGAGGTTCCACATCGAAGACAAAATACTTCACAAGCTGTCTGCTGGAGAGTGCGGATCTAAACCTGTATCTCCAATACTGTTTTGCATCCAAGAAAGTATGCCGTAAGGTCATAGGATCGAGAAGAGTGATACTGTCGGATACCTTATTCAGATTCTTCAGCCTCTTGACGCAGAAAGTCAAGAGCTCCTTCGATTCCAATTGAGCTTTGAGCCAAGTTTTTGGTGGCTGCAAGTAACAACTGATGGCCCGAGAAGCTGCATCGTGTTTCAGTATCAGCTGTTCTAGATAGAAGAAGGTTCGTCGGTGAGGAACATGCTGACGGAGCTGAACCGAGGCAATCCATTGATCCGGGTTAGCCTGAATTCTAGAGCACGGGTCACACATCTGGTCTCTTATCGTGTATTCGACAATGTAAGCTTGCTCAAGAACCGCACCGTTGAGAACTTCTTTCTGAACTCTCAGCTTAACCTTGATCCTCTTGGAATGAGGCTCTGTCCAAACAAATTCAGCGTGAACCAACCTCACCTTATTCAGATTCTTCAGCCTCTTCACGCAGAAAGTCAAGAGCTCCTTCGATTCCCATTGAGCTTTGAGCCAAGTTTTTGGTGGCTGCAAGTAACAATCGCACTCGGGGCAATGGATTATCAGAACCTGTTTCTGCAATCCTTCCGTGATGTCGACTTCAGAACGGAGACAAGTCACGCACATATTGGCGGCGTTTGGTGCCATGGGAACACCGCATTTGCAGCACAGAACGCTGCCGACAGTTTGATGAACGGTGAACATGCCTGATTGTTGAGTCATCGTTAAACTCTGCGACATCAAAGAGAGAAAAGCCAGAAATTTACATCAAAAGGGAAAGTAACCAGAAATATATTCAAAAGGGAAATACAAACTATATATGTTCCAAAGCAATCTGCATAAATCTCAGAGAAAAAAAAGCCAAGAAATCGAAAACACAGTTACACATGAATCCCTAAACTTGAAGAGAAGCGAGACGGAGATGCAGATATGGGTCGAATAGTCACCGTATGTCAGAATAAACTGCACGGAGTCGATCAATAAACGCTCACCGAAATAAAACGACAGAAATCGACCGAGAAATCGACAGAAACATGCATGCTTACCTCGGAAATCGACGGAGGAAGAGATTAACGGCTGCGACAGAGGATGAGAACGGCGATTTGGGGCCGTCGGAGAGGGAAGTCGAAAAATGAAGTTGAGGGAAGGAGGGAGGAATCGCGAGAGGCGAGAGGGGAAGTTGGAAACCGAGTGAGGCTACGAGAACCACAACCCTAGGTTTTTTTATAAATAATTTTATAAATAAGGTATTTTAGACATTGTGTGTAAAACTCCGGATCATAAAAATGGTAAAATTACAAAAATAATCGCAAATGTCCATATTAAGTTCAAGGGAAGAAGGTTTAGGGTTTTAAAAAAAAAATCTAAAAGGACGAAAATACTAATTTTTTAAAAAAAATTAGATACGTGGCAACTCTCTAGCGAAAAAAATCTTTCCAAAATTTTATTTACTTTTTCTAAAAATTCAAAATGCAAATCTTTTTTTTCTCTCGGAAGAGATTTCGTCGGCAGTTCTAACAATAAATTTTTAGTTTTCATCTTACATTCGACATATTTTTCTATTATGACGAGATTTGATATTCTAAAGTTGGAAAATTTGAGAATACATGAAAAATATTCGATAAAAATTTTTAAAAAAATTTTGACTCTTAAAACGCTGATCATATCGATCAGACTTTGGTTATACCGATCAGATATTGGTTAGATCACAATTTGGTCAGCCATACTATGAGTGAATATAATTTATGTTAAGAAATGTTTTTATATATATAATTAGATCACAAAAACGATGAAATGTATTGTTATATTTATACAACTTTTTGAATCATTTAAATTTAATGTAGACTTTTATTTTTTGTCTAAAAAAGATAATACCGATCACACTTTGATATCAAACGATAAGATATCGATCATACAGTGATAATTTGGTGAGAACGTCAGATTTATTGACATTTGCGCTTATTTTTACAATTTTATCCAGTTAGGAGATGATGATATTTTTTTTAAATGCGAAGAAGGTACGTGAAATGAAAAGAGACGATGTATACGTGTATACACACGTTTACCAACCTATACAGTCAATACTCAAGAGTTTTCTACATTTTCGAACGCTATTAAAAGGATAAAATATTTATTTTCATTAAAATTAATAATTTATAAAATTCAATGACATTTTAGAGATGAGATATTGTGACATTGTATTTATATTAATTGAATAAATAAATCTTATAAAATTGTATCGATAAATATAAATAAATCTTATACGCAAACCCACTTTCACTTTCCCCGAGAAAAACAAAAACAAGAAAGCCAAGAAAGAAGAGATGGATAATGAGATCGAAGATCTGAACACGGCGGAGCAGAGCGACCAGCGCGTGTACCACGAAGCCGCCGTAACATTTCTCGCCACCGAAGAACTCGATCCAGTGGCGAAACTCATCTCCTCGCTCTTGCGGCCACCGGAAAATCAGGACGCCGAGGCAAGAATCAGCTCCACCAATTTCCCCAACTCCACGTCTCTGAAGCTCCTGCAAAATCTACTCGTCGTCGGACAAGACATGATACGACGACAACATTCCGTACATATGACTCTGTTTGCTTCAGTACAATATCTTTTTACGTCACGCCACAATATTGGGTTGTTAGTGACTGTTTTGAGATTGTATTCGTGTAGACTTATATTTATCCGTACAATTTCACAAGATTTATTTATTCAATTAATATAAATACAATGTCACAATATCTCATTTCTAAAATGTCATTGAATTTTATAAATTATTAATTTTAATGCAAATCAATATTTTATCCTTTTAATAGCGTTCGAAAACATAGGAAGCTCTTGAGTATTGACTGTACAGGTTGGTAAACGTGTGTATACACATATACATCGTCTCTTTTCATTTCACGTATTTAGATTAAATTAAAAACCGTTATTTTTTTTATAAATGAAATTTAATTAAAAAATTATATAAAAAGTCAGAATTCGCAGTTATTAAAAACGGGATCCAAGTCTGGTTGCCTCAATTTCCAATCAAGTTATAATTTGGTTCGTACGGTCAGACATTTGTCATGCAATAATAATTTAGTTCAGACGGTCACATTTCTTAAAAATTGATGAATACATTTCTATATTTATTGTTATGTTATATTACCTATCTAAGTTTTTTTTTCACACTTTCATATATAAACAATTTTTTTTTGGTATATTTGAGGTTTATATACCTTAGCCCCCGTGGGTTTGTTTTTGTCCTTGGGCTCCACTTTTACCTAAGTAAATACACACCTTTTTTATGATAACAAATTGGTCGTATTGGCTTATTGCTTTTCAATTTTCAAAAAGTCTAGACGGTCTGATCAAATTCTACTCTATATGATTAATGTTTGGTCGTTTTATCAAAATGTAATCGGTATGACGTTTTTTATACGAAAAATAAAGATCTAAATTAAATTTAAATAATTTTAAAATTGTATAAAAATTATAAGAATGTATTTTATCGTTTTAGAATCTAATTCTATGTATAAATATCTCTTAATATAAATCATATTCATTCAAAATATGATTGGGTGACAAACTAGTATTTTCGTTATTTTAATTTTTTCTAAAAACCCTAAACCTAGAAGAACTCATTGTGGACATTTGCGTTTATTTTTGTAATTTTACCATTTTTATGACCTGGAGTTTTACACACAATGTCTACAATAACCCTAGTTTTAAATTTATTTACAAAAACCCCTAGGGTTATGATTCTCGTAGCCTCTCTCTCGGTTTCCATCTTCCCACGCACCTCTCGCGATTCCGCTCTTCTTCCATCAACTTCAATTTTCGACTTCCCTCTCCGACGGCCCCAAATCGCCGTTCTCATCCTCTGTCGCAGCCGTTAATCGCTTCCTCCGTTGATTTCCGTGGTAAGCATGCATGTTTCTGTCGATTTCTCGGTCGATTTCTGTCGTTTTATTTCGGTGAGGGTTTATGGATCGACTCCGTGCAGTTTATTCTGATCGACGGTGACTATTCGACCCATATCTGCATCTCCGTCTCACTTCTCTTCAAGTTTAGGGATTCCTGTGTAACTGTGTTTTCGATTTCTTGGCTTTTTCTTCTGAGTTTATGCATATTGCTTGACAGATTGCCTTGGAACATATAGTTGCTTTGGAACATATAGTTTGTATCTTTCTGGCTTTTCTCTCTTTGATATTGCAGAGTTTAACGATGACTCAACAATCAGGCATGTTCACCGTTCGTCAAACCGTCGGCAGCGTTCTGTGCTGCAAGTGCGGTGTTCCCATGGCACCGAACGCCGCCAATATGTGCGTGACTTGTCTCCGTTCTGAAGTCGACATCACGGAAGGATTGCAGAAACAGGTTCTGATAATCCATTGCCCCGAGTGCGGTTGTTACTTGCAGCCACCAAAAACTTGGCTCAAAGCTCAATGGGAATCGAAGGAACTCTTGACTTTCTGCGTCAAGAGGCTGAAGAATCTGAATAAGGTATCCGACAATATCACTCTTCTCGATCCTATGACCTTACGGCATGCTTTCTTGGATGCAAAACAGTAGTGAAGATACAGGTTTAGATCCGCACTCACCAGCAGACAGCTCGTGAAGTACTTTGTCTTCGACCTGGAACCTCCCGTCGGGGAAGTAACTGCCGGTGGAACAAAGTATGCTCTGTCCTATGCCCAGGAGGCTCGTGAATTGGACATCGGTAAGATCTTCTACATCCAAACACATCTAGGCCATATCTTGAAACCCGGGGATCAAGCTCTGGTCTATGATCTTTACGGGGCTAACGTGAACGACAATGAGCTGGAGAAGCACGGGGCGACCGGCTCACTTCCCGAGGTGATTCTGATCAAGAAGAGCTACGAGGAGCAGAGAGAAAGGAAAAAGAATAAGCCTCGTTCATGGAAGCTCAAGTCGCTGCCGATCGAAACCAGTGATCCTAGAGGCAGAGGCGGTGAAGAGAAGATGAGCAAGGAATACGAAGAGTTCTTGAGGGATCTTGAGGAGAATCCGGAACTTAGGTTTAACGTATCCTTGTACCGGGACAAGGATTATCAGCCCTCTGAAACGGCTTCTATGAACGGCGGGGAAGGTGCTCCTTCTGTCCCGATCGAAGAGTTGCTGATAGATCTCAAGCTCAGCGACGAGCAAGAGGAAGAAGACGAGGATGAGGAGGACATGGAGGAATAGTTTTTGTCTTCATTTGCCCATTGCAGTTCAAGAATCAGTTCAGTTTGGTCCCCGTATAGTTTCTGAGAGTTATATTCTACATTTCTGTCTTGTCTTGTAAGAGAATTCAGTTCAGTTTGATACATTTCACATTATAAAAACCACGACAGTTTCCATTCTGAATGCACTGATTGAGCCAATCATCCACACCGTTGTCTCGAACTTTGACAGATCTGACCGTGTTCATCTCCATCACAAACTGAATTCTCCATAAGACGGCCTTGGTCTTGTGCTTCATCCCCTCAACCCCTTCCATCCTTCGTATCAAACCCGAAACGAATTTGTACTCGTCGATGCAGTACCAGTCGGATTGTTTCGACATGATCATTTCCATCTCTCTGAAGGCTCTTATTACAAAACCTAGTTCCATTCCTCTCTTCACCAGTTCTGTCACTGAACTCAGCATCTCGTAGACAATGTTACCTACCAGATCGACCCGTCTCGTCCCGAACATGCGAATCGCCGAGCAGAAAGCACCCAAGAACGCCAATACCCAGTTGTTCTCTTGGTTTAACATCATGTCTAACCATTTCAAAATCGGCGAGAGGAGATTCTTCATCAGAGGAGCCACGAACTCGTCCTCGTCCAACGGCATCAACAGAAGCGGTAGATTCTCCGAAGCTCGTTTCTCCTCGGATCTGTTGGTTTTCCGGCTACGAAAAGAGCGAGGAGATGAGTTCTTGCATCAGTTTGAGGTCTTCAGTTGCCAGAACCTTCTTCGTAGCTATCAGTAACGCGTTCTTGTTTTCCATATTTAGTTTCCATATATATATATGTTTGTATGTATGTATATGTGTAATTCAGGGAAAAGCTGTTGTATAATAGCAACAAATGGCAACCCCTGTACGAACCTGTGTTCTGCACTGCACCTTTCTGCAACTCCTCTTTTGTAGCTTAATTTAATTGCAGTTTAAAGGTTCCTCCATTTTTAAGAAAATAACGAATTCGCCCCGACTTTATGAAAATGTTCAAACAGAACCCTGCAGTACAGCCTGTCCAAAATCAGATTTATTTGATTTCGTGAGGATATTGAATTTCAGTTTGATATTTTGTAGATTAGTCCATCAAGTATTAGATCATTTAATCATGTTTTAATTCTGATATTTTTAAATTTTAGTTCTTGCGGATCTAATGAAATATATATTATTTAAGCATTTAACATGATATGTTAATAATTCAATATGGAGATTTGTAATATAAAATTGTGTAAACAAAAATTGCTCAAAGAGAAATACAATTCATAACGACAGAAAAAACAAAAGCTTAAGATATAACAAAATGTGGATATATCAAGAAATAGTGGGCTGAGCCCAAAACATGGGCTAGGCTCGTTGATTGTGGATGAGCCCACAATTGCGTTATTGCCCATTAGTTAACTATAGACTAGACGTTACGGCCCATTATTTATCATAAACTCGTAATTTTAACCTTAAACATACAAGAGATTTTCCCTGAATTACACATATACATACATACATACAGGCACATATATATAAGGAAAGTAAATATGGAAAACAAGAACGCGTTACTGATAGCTACGAAGAAGGTTTCTGGCAACTGAAGACCTCAAACTGATGCAGGAACTCATCTCCTCGCTCTTTTCGTCGCCAGAAAACCAACAGATCCAACCGAGAAACGAGCTTCGGAGAATCTACCGCTTCTGCTCTACGAGATTCCCCCCCTGTCTGTCTCTGAAGCTCTTACGGGTCTACGCTGATCCAGGATTCGAAGAGGACGTGAGAAGGAGCTCGATCCAATGCCTCAACGTCCTCCTTTCCGTTAACAGAAAAGGAACAGAGCCCTTGTTAGAACTCGTAACCCTCCAAGAACTCTCGCCGTTGCTCATATCTTGCCTCGAAGATCATGGACTCCCCGAGCACGCATTCAAGACTCTCGCCCTGGTCACGGACCGCAAAGCCCACGAGATTTTCGTCTGCCACGACGTCGTTTGGCCCAGCCTCGGCACGTTAATGTCATCAAGAATCAAACCCGAGTTCAAGAAAGCGGTTTACATCTTCCAGAGCTTGTCGATGCCATTGGACAAGGACGGGGTTGTGGCTCCTCTGACGAAGAATCTCCTCCCGCCGAACTAATTCTATTACAAGACACGATAGAAATGTATCAGAAACTTCATCAAACTGAACTGATTCTCTTACAAGACACGATAGAAATGAAGAATATAACTCTTACGGAAACTATAAGGGGACCAAACTGAACTGATTCTTGAACTGTAATGGGCAAATGAAGACAAAAACTATTCCTCCATGTCCTCATCCTCGTCTTCATCCTCTTCCTCATCGCTGAGCTTGAGATCTATCAGCAACTCTTCGATCGGGACAGAAGGAGCACCTTCCCCGTCGGTCATAGAAGTCGTTTCAGAGGGCTGATAATCCTTGTCCCGGTACAAGGATACGTTAAACCTAAGTTCCGGATTCTCCTCAAGATCCCTCAAGAACTCTTCGTATTCCTTTCTCATCTTCTCTTCATCGCCTCTGCCTCTAGGATCACTGGTTTCCATCGGCAGCGACTTGAGCTTCCATAAGCGAGGCTTATTCTTTTTCCTTTCCCTCTGCTCCTCGTAGCACTTCTTGATCAGAATCACCTCGGGAAGTGAGCCGGTCATCCCGTGCTTCTCCAGCTCATTGTCATTCACGTTAGCCCCGTAAAGATCATAGCCCAGAGCTTGATCCCCGGGTTTCAAGATATGGCCTAGATGTGTTGGGATGTTGAAGATCTTCCCGATGTCCGATTCACGAGCCACCTGGGCATAGGACAGAGCATACTTTGTTCCACCGGCAGTTACTTCCCCGACTGGAGGCTCCACATTGAAGACAAAGTACTTCACCAGCTGTCTGCTGGTGAGTGCGGATCTAATTCTGTATCTCCAATACTGTTTTGCATCCAGGAAGGCATGTCGTAAGGTTATAGGATCGAGAAGAGTGATACTGTCGGATACCTTACTGCAAATCACGATCGGGCCAAGGTTTCCCAAACTGCTGGCCACTTTTTGTGGCAAGCAGACAAGATCCTCACGACAAATGGGACAGATCTCAACGGAGAATGTGTACTTGTAGTTGTAGTTGTTGCTCTTGGAATCATGAGAGACCAGACTCTTGTCATGCCGATAATCAACCGGAACAAGTTTACGCAGAAAGTCCACAAAATTAACCGCATGACTCCTGTTCCCAAAGAAAAAATCGATACCCTGATCCACCTGCTGAATCCTGATGGCCCGAGAAGCTGCATCGTGTTTCAGTATCAGCTGTTCTAGATAGAAAAAGGTTCGTCGGTGAGGAACGTGCTGCCGGAGCTGAACCGAGGCAATCCATTGATCCGGGTTAGCCTGAATTCTAGAGCAAGGGTCACACATCTGGTCTCTTATCGTGTATTCAACAGCATAAGGTTGCTCAAGAACCGCACCGTTGAGAACTTCTTTCTGAACTCTCAGCTTAACCTTGATCCTCTTGGAATGAGGCTCTGTCCAAACAAATTCAGCGTGAACCAACCTCACCTTATTCAGATTCTTCAGCCTCTTCACGCAGAAAGTCAAGAGCTCCTTAGATTCCAATTGAGCTTTGAGCCAAGTTTTTGGTGGCTGCAAGTAACAACCGCACTCGGGGCAATGGATTATCAGAACCTGTTTCTGCAATCCTTCCGTGATGTCGACTTCAGAACGGAGACAAGTCACGCACATATTTGCGGCGTTCGGTGCCATGGGAACACCGCACTTGCAGCACAGAACGCTGCCGCCAGTTTGATGAACGGTGAACATGCCTGATTGTTGATTCATCGTTAAACTCTGCAACATCAAAGAGAGAAAAGCCACAAATTTACATCAAAAGGGAAAGTACCCAGAAATATATTCAAAACGGAAATACAAACTATATGTTCCAAATCAATCTGTCAAGCTATATGCATAAACTCAGAGAAGAAAAAGCCAAGAAACCGAAAACACAGTTACACAGGAATCCCTAAACTTGAAGAGAAGCGAGACGGAGATGCAGATATGGGTCGAATAGTCACCGTCGATCAGAATAAACCGCACGGAGTCCATCCATAAACGCTCACCGAAATAAAACGAAAGAAATCGACCGAGAAATCGACAGAAACATGCATGCTTACCTCGGAAATCGACGGAGGAAGAGATTAACGGCTGCGACCGAGGATGAGAACGGCGATTTCGGGCCGTCGGAGAGGGAAGTCGAAAAATGAAGTTGAGGGAAGAAGAGAGGAATCGCGAGAGGTGAGTGGGGAAGTTGGAAACCGAGTGAGGCTACGAGAATCATAACCCTAGGTTTTTTTGTAAATAATTTTAAAATGACGAAAATATTAGCTTATTATTAATATTAGCTTATAATTAATAAAAAAATTAACGACAAACTAATATTTTCGTCATTTTAATTTTTTTTTAAAACCATAAACCTAGAAGTTAATCCCTTGAACTCAATGTGGACATTTCCGATTATTTTTGTAATTTTACCATTTTTATGACGAGTTTTACACACAATGTCTAAAATACCCCTAGTTTTAAAATTATTTACAAAAAAACCTAGGGTTATGATTCTCGTAGCCTCACTCGGTTTCCAACTTCCCCACTCACCTCTCGCGATTCCTCTCTTCTTCCCTCAACTTCATTTTTCGACTTCCCTCTCCGACGGCCCGAAATCGCCGTTCTCATCCTCGGTCGCAGCCGTTAATCTCTTCCTCCGTCGATTTCCGAGGTAAGCATGCATGTTTCTGTCGATTTCTCGGTCGATTTCTTTCGTTTTATTTCGGTGAGCGTTTATGGATGGACTCCGTGCGGTTTATTCTGATCGACGGTGACTATTCGACCCATATCTGCATCTCCGTCTCGCTTCTCTTCAAGTTTAGGGATTCCTGTGTAACTGTGTTTTCGGTTTCTTGGCTTTTTCTTCTCTGAGTTTATGCATATAGCTTGACAGATTGATTTGGAACATATAGTTTGTATTTCCGTTTTGAATATATTTCTGGGTACTTTCCCTTTTGATGTAAATTTGTGGCTTTTCTCTCTTTGATGTTGCAGAGTTTAACGATGAATCAACAATCAGGCATGTTCACCGTTCATCAAACTGGCGGCAGCGTTCTGTGCTGCAAGTGCGGTGTTCCCATGGCACCGAACGCCGCAAATATGTGCGTGACTTGTCTCCGTTCTGAAGTCGACATCACGGAAGGATTGCAGAAACAGGTTCTGATAATCCATTGCCCCGAGTGCGGTTGTTACTTGCAGCCACCAAAAACTTGGCTCAAAGCTCAATTGGAATCTAAGGAGCTCTTGACTTTCTGCGTGAAGAGGCTGAAGAATCTGAATAAGGTGAGGTTGGTTCACGCTGAATTTGTTTGGACAGAGCCTCATTCCAAGAGGATCAAGGTTAAGCTGAGAGTTCAGAAAGAAGTTCTCAACGGTGCGGTTCTTGAGCAACCTTATGCTGTTGAATACACGATAAGAGACCAGATGTGTGACCCTTGCTCTAGAATTCAGGCTAACCCGGATCAATGGATTGCCTCGGTTCAGCTCCGGCAGCACGTTCCTCACCGACGAACCTTTTTCTATCTAGAACAGCTGATACTGAAACACGATGCAGCTTCTCGGGCCATCAGGATTCAGCAGGTGGATCAGGGTATCGATTTTTTCTTTGGGAACAGGAGTCATGCGGTTAATTTTGTGGACTTTCTGCGTAAACTTGTTCCGGTTGTATGTATGTATATGTGTAATTCAGGGAAAATCTCTTGTATGTTTAAGGTTAAAATTACGAGTTTATGATAAATAATGGGCCGTAACGTCTAGTCTATAGTTAACTAATGGGCAATAACGCAATTGTGGGCTCATCCACAATCAACGAGCCTAGCCCATGTTTTGGGCTCAGCCCACTATTTCTTGATATATCCACATTTTGTTATATCTTAAGCTTTTGTTTTTTCTGTCGTTATGAATTGTATTTCTCTTTGAGCAATTTTTGTTTACACAATTTTATATTACAAATCTCCATATTGAATTATTAACATATCATGTTAAATGCTTAAATAATATATATTTCATTAGATCCGCAAGAACTAAAATTTAAAAATATCAGAATTAAAACATGATTAAATGATCTAATACTTGATGGACTAATCTACAAAATATCAAACTGAAATTCAATATCCTCACGAAATCAAATAAATCTGATTTTGGACAGGCTGTACTGCAGGGTTCTGTTTGAACATTTTCATAAAGTCGGGGCGAATTCGTTATTTTCTTAAAAATGGAGGAACCTTTAAACTGCAATTAAATTAAGCTACAAAAGAGGAGTTGCAGAAAGGTGCAGTGCAGAACACAGGTTCGTACAGGGGTTGCCATTTGTTGCTATTATACAACAGCTTTTCCCTGAATTACACATATACATACATACAAACATATATATATATGGAAACTAAATATGGAAAACAAGAACGCGTTACTGATAGCTACGAAGAAGGTTCTGGCAACTGAAGACCTCAAACTGATGCAAGAACTCATCTCCTCGCTCTTTTCGTAGCCGGAAAACCAACAGATCCGAGGAGAAACGAGCTTCGGAGAATCTACCGCTTCTGTTGATGCCGTTGGACGAGGACGAGTTCGTGGCTCCTCTGATGAAGAATCTCCTCTCGCCGATTTTGAAATGGTTAGACATGATGTTAAACCAAGAGAACAACTGGGTATTGGCGTTCTTGGGTGCTTTCTGCTCGGCGATTCGCATGTTCGGGACGAGACGGGTCGATCTGGTAGGTAACATTGTCTACGAGATGCTGAGTTCAGTGACAGAACTGGTGAAGAGAGGAATGGAACTAGGTTTTGTAATAAGAGCCTTCAGAGAGATGGAAATGATCATGTCGAAACAATCCGACTGGTACTGCATCGACGAGTACAAATTCGTTTCGGGTTTGATACGAAGGATGGAAGGGGTTGAGGGGATGAAGCACAAGACCAAGGCCGTCTTATGGAGAATTCAGTTTGTGATGGAGATGAACACGGTCAGATCTGTCAAAGTTCGAGACAACGGTGTGGATGATTGGCTCAATCAGTGCATTCAGAATGGAAACTGTCGTGGTTTTTATAATGTGAAATGTATCAAACTGAACTGAATTCTCTTACAAGACAAGACAGAAATGTAGAATATAACTCTCAGAAACTATACGGGGACCAAACTGAACTGATTCTTGAACTGCAATGGGCAAATGAAGACAAAAACTATTCCTCCATGTCCTCCTCATCCTCGTCTTCTTCCTCTTGCTCGTCGCTGAGCTTGAGATCTATCAGCAACTCTTCGATCGGGACAGAAGGAGCACCTTCCCCGCCGTTCATAGAAGCCGTTTCAGAGGGCTGATAATCCTTGTCCCGGTACAAGGATACGTTAAACCTAAGTTCCGGATTCTCCTCAAGATCCCTCAAGAACTCTTCGTATTCCTTGCTCATCTTCTCTTCACCGCCTCTGCCTCTAGGATCACTGGTTTCGATCGGCAGCGACTTGAGCTTCCATGAACGAGGCTTATTCTTTTTCCTTTCTCTCTGCTCCTCGTAGCTCTTCTTGATCAGAATCACCTCGGGAAGTGAGCCGGTCGCCCCGTGCTTCTCCAGCTCATTGTCGTTCACGTTAGCCCCGTAAAGATCATAGACCAGAGCTTGATCCCCGGGTTTCAAGATATGGCCTAGATGTGTTTGGATGTAGAAGATCTTACCGATGTCCAATTCACGAGCCTCCTGGGCATAGGACAGAGCATACTTTGTTCCACCGGCAGTTACTTCCCCGACGGGAGGTTCCAGGTCGAAGACAAAGTACTTCACGAGCTGTCTGCTGGTGAGTGCGGATCTAAACCTGTATCTTCACTACTGTTTTGCATCCAAGAAAGCATGCCGTAAGGTCATAGGATCGAGAAGAGTGATATTGTCGGATACCTTATTCAGATTCTTCAGCCTCTTGACGCAGAAAGTCAAGAGTTCCTTCGATTCCCATTGAGCTTTGAGCCAAGTTTTTGGTGGCTGCAAGTAACAACCGCACTCGGGGCAATGGATTATCAGAACCTGTTTCTGCAATCCTTCCGTGATGTCGACTTCAGAACGGAGACAAGTCACGCACATGTTGGCGGCGTTCGGTGCCATGGGAACACCGCACTTGCAGCACAGAACGCTGCCGACAGTTTGATGAACGGTGAACATGCCTGATTGTTGAGTCATCATTAAACACTGCAATATCAAAGAGAGAAAAGCCAGAAATTTACATCAAAAGGGAAAGTACCCAGAAATATATTCAAAAGGGAAATACAAACTATATGTTCCAAAGCAACGTTGTTCAAAAATGGGGCTGTCTTTCGGGAAGCTGTTCAGCAGGCTCTTTGCCAAGAAAGAGATGCGTATCCTAATGGTGGGTCTTGATGTTGCTCGTAAGACGACCATTTTGTACAAGCTCAAACTTGGAGAGATTGTGACCACTGTCCCCACCATTGGTGAGTAATTCGAAATAATGCCTTTGTCTCAGCATCTCTGTTGTTGTGGTTTCTGAGTACGATTAACCGAATGCTTGGATGACTACCATTGTTGTATCAGGGTTCAATGTGGAGACAGTGGAATACAAGAACATCAGCTTTACCGTCTGGGATGTCGGGGGTCAGGACAAGGTATTGTCATTTCTTATTGCAGCTACACACTTTGAAATGTTTGCTCTTATTTATATTTCTGGAAGGATCATTTGTGTCTGTCTAAGACACGCATACGGTTCGGTTTTATATGATTATGGTCCAGCAAAAAATGGTTGCTGATCTATTCATATGGCATATGCTGCTTGTCTAGGTCCCAGTGCTGGTATTAGAACGGTATACCGTCACTCTACAATTGATAAGCTAAATCAATATCTGCCAGCAATTCTAACAACATCCTTTGATTGTCTAAGGGATGACATTTTGCTGGCTGAAATTCCTAGATATTACGGTTTTTGTTGCATGTACCGTTTTTTGTCATTTAAGGAGCGCTTATACTGGATGTCATAGTTGATTAACCTTTTTAAACGTATGGATTTTGCTTGCTTGCTCGTATAGATCAGTCCATTGTGGAGACATTACTTTCAAAACACCCAGGGGCTTATCTTTGTTGTTGACAGCAATGACAGAGACCGTGTTGTTGAAGCCAGAGACGAGCTTCACAGAATGCTGAATGAGGTAAATAAAAACAAACTCCAAATCTTCCCAGGGACTATATTGCTTGACATACTATATGTGAGCGTTTATGGATCGACTCCGTGCAGTTTATTCTGATATACGGTGACTATTCGACCCATATCTGCATATCCGTCTCGCTTCTCTTCAAGTTTAGGGATGCCTGTGTAACTGTGTTTTCGATTTCTTGGCTTTTTCTTCTCCGAGTTTATGCATATTTCTTGACAGATTGCTTTGGAACATATATAGTTTGTATTTCCCTTTTGAATATATTTCTGGTTACTTTCCCTTTTGATGTAAATTTCTGGCTTTTCTCTCTTTGATGTCGCAGAGTTTAACGATGACTCAACAATCAGGCATGTCGGCAGCGTTCTGTGCTGCAAGTGCGGTGTTCCCATGGCACCGAACGCCGCCAACATGTGCGTGACTTGTCTCCGTTCTGAAGTCGACATCACGGAAGGATTGCAGAAACAGGTTCTGATAATCCATTGCCCCGAGTGCGGTTGTTACTTGCAGCCACCAAAAACTTGGCTCAAAGCTCAATTGGAATCGAAGGAGCTCTTGACTTTCTGCGTCAAGAGGCTGAAGAATCTGAATAAGGTATCCGACAGTATCACTCTTCTCGATCCTATGATCTTACGGCATGCTTTCTTGGATGCAAAACAGTATTGGAGATACAGAATTAGATCCACACTCACCAGCAGACAGCTCGTGAAGTACTTTGTCTTCGACCTGGAACCTCCAGTCGGGGAAGTAACTGCCGGTGGAACAAAGTATGCTCTGTCCTATGCCCAGGTGGCTCGTGAATCGGACATCGGTAAGATCTTCTACATCCCAACACATCTAGGCCATATCTTGAAACCCGGGGATCAAGCTCTGGGCTATGATCTTTACGGGGCTAACGTGAACGACAATGAGCTGGAGAAACACGGGATGACCGGCTCACTTCCCGAAGTGATTCTGATCAAGAAGAGCTACGATGAGCAGAGGGAAAGAAAAAAGAATAAGCCTCGTTCATGGAAGCTCAAGTCGCTGCCGATCGAAACCAGTGATCCTAGAGGCAGAGGCGGTGAAGAGAAGATGAGCAAGGAATACGAAGAGTTCTTGAGGGATCTTGAGGAGAATCCGGAACTTAGGTTTAACGTATCCTTGTACCGGGACAAGGATTATCAGCCCTCTGAAACGGCTTCTATGAACGGCGGGGAAGGTGCTCCTTCTGTCCCGATCGAAGAGTTGCTGATAGATCTCAAGCTCAGCGACGAGCAAGAGGAAGAAGACGAGCTTAACCTTGATCCTCTTGGAATGAGGCTCTGTCCAAACAAATTCAGCGTGAACCAACCTCATCTTATTCAGATTCTTCAGCCTCTTCACGCAGAAAGTCAAGAGCTCCTTCGATTCCCATTGAGCTTTGAGCCAAGTTTTTGGTGGCTGCAAGTAACAACCGCACTCGGGGCAATGGATTATCAGAACCTGTTTCTGCAATCCTTCCGTGATGTCGACTTCAGAACGGAGACAAGTCACGCACATGTTGGCGGCGTTCGGTGCCATGGGAACACCGCACTTGCAGCACAGAACGCTGCCGACATGCCTGATTGTTGAGTCATCGTTAAACTCTGCGACATCAAAGAGAGAAAAGCCAGAAATTTACATCAAAAGGGAAAGTAACCAGAAATATATTCAAAAGGGAAATACAAACTATATATGTTCCAAAGCAATCTGTCAAGAAATATGCCGTAAGGTCATAGGATCGAGAAGAGTGATATTGTCGGATACCTTATTCAGATTCTTCAGCCTCTTGACGCAGAAAGTCAAGAGTTCCTTCGATTCCCATTGAGCTTTGAGCCAAGTTTTTGGTGGCTGCAAGTAACAACCGCACTCGGGGCAATGGATTATCAGAACCTGTTTCTGCAATCCTTCCGTGATGTCGACTTCAGAACGGA